CAGAGAGCTAGGATTACAGGCGTGAGCCAGATTCAAATGTTTTTTTACAGTTGTCTTACAGACTGGTACTTTTATTTTATGGCATGAAATGAATTCTGAAATGGGAAACAGCTGCTGTATTCTAGAATTACAACAACATTAAAATGGTTTCAATGGTTTCCTAAAAATTTTATAATTCTAGTTGTTTAAAAATATTGCTAATATCAAATGGTGATGGAGAAATGACACACTTATCCTCCCTATTTATGGGAGTGTGACCTGACGGGCACGATCTGAAGGGATAAAACGCAATCCACCATCGTTTACTAGGTGTGAACACTTTGTCTCAGCGGCCCCTCCTCTAGGAACCCGTCACGAAGAAATACTTGTAGACGTGCTCAAGGATATAATATATATAAATAAAATTTCACAATGTTCATTAAAACTTTTTTACATAATAGAAATAAACTGGAAGCAAAATTAACGTTCATCAGTTGGGTTACAGAATAAATTATAGTACATCCATATTATGGAAAACTTGGCATCTGTTAAAAAGAATGAGGGCAATCTATATAAATTGAAATGGAAGGATGTCTATGATAACAAAAAGCAGGAAATCAAGAATTATGTATAGTAGGGTGCAATTTTTATAAAAAGAAAAACCCAACTATATATTACAATATAACCATATAATGAGACTTGCACATTTTTAGAATTCCATCGTCCTGAATACAAACAGGCAAATGTCTTTTGGAGATTAAAATCATTTTAGAAGAGCAGGGCAAAAAATCACTTACCTGTTGAATTTAACAGCAAGGCCCAGGTCAGCAATACAGCAACTTCCATTTTTCTTGATGAGGATGTTTTTGCTCTTTAGGTCTCGATGAGCAATCGCAGGCTTTCCCTGCGTGCCGTAAATTTCCGTGTGAAGGTGGCACAGACCACAGGCAGTTGAATATGCCAACTTGAGCAGGGCTCTGGTGTCCAGTGTAGCACATTTCAGGAAGTCATAGAGAGATCCATTTTCATGGTAATCAGTAATCAAATAGAGCTGAGTCCAGGAACCTGTACCTTTGATGTCTGCTGCTATAAAACCTGTCCAATTAATGAGTTTAAAAGGTTAGTTTTCAGAGATGGCTAGAAAGAATAATAAATGCTCATTCAGGATACTGAGAACAACTTAGGTATCATGTACAGATAATAAAAATTTAATTTGCCTGACAAAATCTCTTGAATATGTGGCGTTACCAAAAAATTTATTTCTACCATTTATAACTATACTTTTACAATAAATTTACAATAATTTTAATAATTATGAAACTGATAATAATATGACCAAGAAAAAGATCACATATTATATAACTAACCAGGGGAATATTAGCAATCTACATGATTCTCTAGTGGAAAAGGTTCTGAAATTCAAATCAAAAAGTGGACACTTTAATAAACTTAAAAATGTCAGCCAAGAGTTGGCTTATTTGCCCATCAGTGACTCGTCATACCTGCCTTTTCAGTCAGCTCCCTGACTACCAAGTCCACAATACTGCTCTTGTTTCCTTTTCACTTGTGCCTCCTCTCTCCCTTCAGAAAGAGGTCAGTGAGTGCGGTACGGAGTTCAATAGTGTCCCCACAAAGTTCATGCCCACCTGGAACCTACAAATTGACCTTATTTGGAGAAAAGATCTTTGCAGATGTAATCGAGCTAAGATGAAGTCATACAGGATTAGGGTGGGCCCTAATGAAATGACTGGTGTTCTTTTGCGATGGAAATGTGGACACAGGCACATGGGGGGAAGGCCGTGTGATGACAGAAACAGAGACTGGAGTGTTGTCTATAAGCCAAGGACACTAAAGATTGCTGGCAACCACCAGGAGCCAGCAAGGAAGGACAACCCCCCCTGCCCCCGGGAGCCTCCAAAGAGAGCATGGCCCTGCCAACACTGGTTTTGAACTTCCAGCCTCCAAAACAGTTCTGCTGTTTTAAGCCACCCAGTTCATGGTAATTTGGTACAGCAACCCTGGGAAACTAATACAAGTACCTACTATGTGCTGGAAAGGTGCATGCACTCTTGAAATTAAAGGTAGGAAAACAGCAGCTGAAAAGAAATTAAGACTCAAGATAGCTAGATCAGTGTATGCACCCTACTGATCAGATCATACCTAAGCTATTTTGCTATTGTGTAAATGGGGAGGGGAGAGGAACATATACTAAGCATAGAACATACGATGAAGCTCCATGTTGGGTTGCTGAGCTTACCAAAGGCAAAAGGCATAGAGTTAATATCACCCTAGAAAACTGCTTTGATTATCTATAAAAACATTGGTCTTCATTACTACAGAAGTCCAATAAACTGGTATTTCTTTCCATTTGAAACTCATTGCTGTCTCCTCAGGTGGTTAGTAAATAAAGTGGTTGGCATTCAGAACTGTATTTAAACCGTGTATTCTACTGGATTTCTTTTAGACAAAGACATATGGTTGAATTTGCATGTTTGCAAAGCACATAAGGCAGGCTTCTACCTGCAGTCCACTAACCCTGTCAGATACGGAATTGACCCAAATCAGTGTGTACCCACCAAGTATGTTTTCATGGCGCATTAGCACAGTCTGGTAGATTTCTGTTTCTCGAAACCAGCTAGCTTCTTCGGTGGTAAAGAATACCTTGACTGCCACTTTTTCACCACGCCATTTACCCATCCACACTTCTCCGTATCGGCCTTTACCAACTTGCCGAACCATTTGAATCTGTTTGGCAATAGTTCGCTGAACCTTAAAGAAAAAAAAGTAAACAGTTTTGAGCTCTTGATAAAAAGAACCTATTAAGACTGACACAGGGGTCTGACGGCCCATCCCATTAAAAATCATGGTATATCCAACAACCAACTTCAATTTTAAAACTTATAATGTGCTTAAAAGCATGAAACAATGGACAATGTATTCTGAAGTTATAAACTAATAGGTTGGCCAATGTAGCAGATTGTAAAAATGGTCATAATAATTTGCCTCCCAGTACATACAGCCTGGAGCGGTCTTCCCTGCAGATTCAGGAAATGGCCCGATGACTTGCTTTGGGCAACAGAACAACAGCAAATGGGATGCAAGCAAAGACCTGAAAACTGTTTATGAAGTGGGGCTTCCCCTTTTTCTTGCTGTTTTGGGAAGCCTGTGACCAAGGGAGAGCACCGTGTGAACTGCCAGCCAAGTGTGCCAACTGTATCACCTAGCTGTAGCTGAGCAAGTCCAGAGAAGGAACTGCCCAGTGGTCTACACCCACAAAACCACGAGAAACAATAAATGTTTGTTGCTTCAAGGCACTAAGTTTTGTGGCGGTTTATTATGCAGCCAAGTGTAAATGATAGTTAAAAATCTTCAATTCAGTCTTTAAGATTCTACACAATCTGGCCCAGCCCACAATTCGCTATGATCACTCCTCCAGCACTCCTTTTGTTTGCCTTATTTCAACTTCTAGAATTCACTCAAGCTTAATTCCTGCCGCAGGGTCTTTTTGCATGTCCAGTTCCCTTTACTTAGAGTGCTGTGTCTCTCGCTTAAACACGTTCATAGCACACACACACTTCTCAGTTGCTGCACTTATCACAATTGCAATTTTCTTATTTACACATGTATTTCCTTGAATTCCACCCCATACTGACAGGATATAGGTATTTATTTGGGACAATACCTGAAGTACAGTAAGTATTTTAATATTTATTAAATGAAAGATGTACACTGATTGCTACCTTTCAGAAGCATTAGTGATCATTCTAAATTAAAAAGAACTATTGTTCCAAGTTGGAAATGCATCTATAAAATGGCTGTTTTGTGCAAACCTAAATTGATTAACTTTATGTATCATTTATTACAGAATCCTTTTATAATTTTTTAAAAAAGGTCACGATTATTGAAGTATAATTTACATACAATAGAATTCACCCTTTTTGATGACAGTGCAGTAAGTTTTGATAAATGTATAGTCATCACCACCATAATTAGGATACAGAACATTTCCAACACCTAAAAAAATTCCTACTTTTGGTTAATCGCCTTTCTAAGTCCCTGGCATCACTGATCTGTTTTTTGTCCCTACAGTTTTCTAGAATATCTTACAAACAGAAACAAACAACATGCAGTCTTTTGTGTCTGACTTCTTTCACTTAGCGTAAAATGCTTTTGAAATTCACCCACTTTGTTGCACATATTAGTAGTTTGCTCCTTTTTAATGATGAGTAGTAGTCTACTATAGCGGTCCCTAACCTTTCTGGCACCAGGGAGCGGTTTCATGGAAGACAATACTTCGACTTAAGGGGGGGACGCAGCGGTGAAGCTCAGGCATGCACGCCCGGTTCCCAACAGGCCAGGCCAGTACCAGGCCTCACTGGGGTTGGGGATCCCAGTTCTACAGTATGAATGTACCACTTCGTCTATTTATTTACCAGTTAATGGACTTTCGGGTTGTTTCTAATTTATGCCTATTATGAATAAAGCTGCTATGAACATTCATATTCAGGCCTCTGTGTGGACAAATTTTCATATCTCTTGAGTAAGTAATTAGCAGAAAGATTGCTTCATTGTACAGAAAGTTATGTTGAACTTTTCAGGCAACTGTCACACTGTTTTTCAAATTGGTTGTACCATCATTTTGCATTGTAATAAGCAATGTGTGAGATTTCTAGCTGATCTAAATTCTATGGGCACTTAATACTGTCAGTCTTAGCCATATTAGTGGATGTACCGTAGTACCTCATTGCATTTCATTTGCATATCCCTGATGATACTGATGACATCTTTCCATTAGCATATCTGCCATTCTTATATCTTCTTCGGGAAAATGCCTGTTCAAATCTTTTGTCCATTTAAAAAAATTGGGATGTCTTATTATCGAGTTATAAAAGTTTGTTATATATTCTGCACTCAAACGCTTTATCATTTCTTGCCAGTCTGTGACTTCTCTCTTCATTTTCTTTCCTTCCTTCCTCCCTTCCTTCCTCCCTTTCTCCCTCCCTCCCTTCTTTCCTTCCTTTTCTCTCTCTTTCTATCTCTCCTCTCCCCTTCCCCTCCTCTCTCTTTTTATTTTATTTTTTTAAGAGACAGGGTCTGGCTCTGTTGCCCAGGCTGGAGTACAGTGGTGCCACCATAGCTCACTGCACCTCGAACACCTGGGCTCAGGTGATCTTCCCGCCTCAGCTTCACGAGTACCTGGAACTGCAGGCGCATAACACCACGCCCAGCTAATTTTTTAAATATTCTGTAGAGACGGGAACTCCTGGCCTAAATGATCCTCCTGCCTCAGCCTGGCAAAGTCCTGGGAATACACAGTGGTGCCCAGCCTCATTTTCTTAACAGTGTCTCTGAATAGCAGAAGAATTAAATTTTGACAAAGTTCAATTTATCATTTTTAAAAATGATTCATGCTTTTTGTATACTGAGAAGTCTTTGCTCAAACCAAAGTCACAATAATTTTTTCCAACATTTTCTTTTAGAGGTTTTATATTTTGACTTTTACATTTAGGTCTATACTCCATTTTTTTTTTTTTTGAGACAGAGTCTCGCTCTGTTGCCTGGGCTAGAGTGCCATGGTGTCAGCCTAGCTCACAGCAACCTCAAACTCCTGGGCTCAAG